TGATAATAATGTTAAGCATAAAGTATAATCCCTTAATTATCTTACATAATGAAATTTGTGAGACAAGTTAGTTTCTGATGGCTTTATTTATTCGCACTATTAGCCGTGGGTGTAGAAAAAACAAGCAACGAACCATAAGCAAGCATACATGTAAGTACAAAATGTCCTTCTCATATGATGAAATTTGATTAGTGTTCTGTAATCAAATATATTGATTGATTTTTTCTAGGTTCATTTTCCTACTTCTTCTCTCTCTCTCTATTGGATTGTTACTAATTGGGTGATTTGCGGTTTAGATAATTCCGCTTATGTGTTAACTAATATGAGAAGTTTATGTGTGGTTCATCTTGCAGGTGATGACCCGATTTTTTGCTTTCTCGGACCGTGTTCTTACCACGATTATCGAGTCTTCGATGTGGGGGTGAGGACATAGAAGTTGGACCTTCCATACGAAGGATTAAAATAATTCATATCAACTCGAATGTACTGTTTGCCAAAAGCAAATTCTTCAACAAGGTAGATTATCCTATGGTTTAAAAAGCTTTATGCTTTATATGCATATATTTATGCTCATCTCATATAATCTACCTGCTGTTCACTAACGGAATGATTGAATCTACACAAACGCATGCAACTTTGTCAATACATGACTCTGGTATTCTGCAAAATTTTGATAAGTTTTTGTTTTTCTCTTGTGGTGTTATTTCACTCCTGAAACTGATTGTGGCCATTCGTTTTGCAGAGGAAACTTCTGTGACAGATTTGTTGAGATCCATTTACACCAACAAGTTTGTCTATGAAATTACTAATCTCGCCTCATGCATACGTTTCCCTTGGGTGAAATTCGAGGAAATAGCAGCCTCGGAAGATTTCAAAACCGCCTCCAAGCTGGTCTATGAAGCTTTGGTATTCAAAAAAGCTTCACAACTACGCAAAAAAAAACCTAGCCGCCATATTTGTTCCAAGAAAAATCTACAGATACAAGTTTACGAAAGTAATTGAGTTTCACCAGCTGTGGGTTTGAAGTGTATTGACAAGATTCAACATTGGTATTTGGAGTGTTATAAAGCGTGCCTTCTAGTCCAGGGTTTCACTAAAGCATTTCTTTCTCATAAACAACTGCAAAAGAACCCCAGCGAAATCAGAGGCCTTCGTGTGCACTTTCAAAAGATTTGGCCACATCCGTCAAGTATCCTGCTGCGCGCTAAGCAATAATATGTCTCTCAAATTATGACACCAACCTTCTCATAGGTGGAACACACTACTGACATCGTCATGGCTTCCTAACTCAATCGCTGAACCCCGCAAAGGCAAGTAGACCAAATGATCATTTATATCACTACAAGAAAACAGGCAAATTTCCGACGGTGAAAACCGTCGGAAAGCCGTCGGAATAGGGCTTATTCCGACGGCTTTCCAACGGTTTTGACCGGTCGGTTCTATCTCGTCGGAAATAAAATTCTGTCGGAATTCCGTCGGAAATACTGACGGATTTCCGACGGAAAAGAAATAACCGGAATCCGTCAGAATTCCGTCGGAAATCCGTCAGTATGTCAATGTCCGACGGATTTCCGACGGCACAAATACCGACGGATTTCCGACGGATAATTTATTTATTAAAATTTTTTTTTT